TGAGAGGTTGGGCGGGCTGGCGCGGCGCCCGTGACCCGCCCGCGACCCGCCGGCACTGGGGCCCGCTCGCGACCCACTCTTGACCTACCGGCCCCAAGGAAGGTCCCCTGAGGCGTGATATACGGGCCCCACAGAGGTGTTATACGCCCCCCTTAATTGTTACAGGGCCGTCTGAATCGCAGTCTTTGGGCACGCTTGGTTGGTTGGCTGGTCGGCGCGGCCAGGCTGGATCGTCGGATCCAGCCGCTGGTGGGTGGCCAGACCTGGTAGGCTTGGCCCCCGGTCCAGGCCGCAGGGCGCGCCGCTGCCCAGAAACGCATATTTCGCTTACCTCGGGCGTCGGAGCGCTCGAAATCAAAGTCCCTGGGCGAGGGGGTAGGCAGGAGGCAGGGCCCCCCGGACCCCCCTGAGCAATTGCTTGATGCTTGACATCAGCATGGGCCCCTTGGCACATTGCCCCAACGCATGGTGCGACGACGCGATGATACGGAAGGGGAGGGGGGGGGGCGGGGAGGAGGAGGCGGGGGCGAAGGACGAGGGCGGGGGCGAGGGCGAGGAGGACCGAGCCTTGTCTTCCGTTGCCATTTTGGGCCAAGCCCCTCGAGGATCGGTTGCGTTGGCTGGCCCTGGAGGGCGGCAGAGGTTGCTGCGTTCCCAGGGGCGTCCATTAGGCCCCTCCTGGCGTCGGAACACCCGATATCTTCGTTCCTGAGCGGCCTGCGGGCCGCGGGCGTTACGAGGCCAGAGGGCCCTGGGGCTCCCAAGGACCTCGGAAGTGGGGGGCCCCATGGACGTGGAGTCCACGCGTTTGTTCCGGACAATGTTCCGGACAATGGTCCGGACAATGTTCCGGGCAGATTCGTTCCGGACGCGGTTCGTGGCCAACGCAGCCCCTGCGCACCCCCTACGGTGCCCGGAAATGCCACTCCTGCTATGCCCTGGACGATCGGCTCGGATAGCGGCCGCGCTCAGGGACACCTATACGACCACCCTTCGGCTGATAAGGAGGTTCGGGGGGGACACCACCGTCTCACTCAATCGATCTTCGATCCCACTATCGATCTCACGATGGATCCCAGTATCGATCCCACTATGGGTCTCGCTGTGAGTCTCACTATGAATCACACTATCGATCTCACTATTGATCTCAATCGACCGATCGCACTATGGATCTCATCATCGATATCGCGAGCGATCTCATTATCGATCTCACAATTGGTGTCACTATCAGTCTCATCATCGATCTTAATATCGATATCAGTATCGATTGCACTATTGTTCTCACTATCGGTCTCACTATCGATCTCACTAGCGCTCTCACGGCCGATCACACCATCGATCTCGTTATCGAAATCATTACTGATCTCATTATCGATCTCACTATCGATCTCACGATCGATCGTAGCATCGGTCGTGTTATCGATCACACTATCGATATCACGCTCGATCACACTACGGGACACTGACGGGACACCGACGGGACACCACAGTACACCACGGAACACCATGGGACACCATCGGGATACCACGACGGGACACCCTTCCAACCGATGGCCAAGCGGGGTGGGCGTCTTGGTCGGGTGAGGCCCTAGCAAGAGGAGGGTTGATTCCTCTCGGCCGCCCACGCAGCTTCGCCTCGCCTGCACGCACGACATGAACACGAAACCGAAACCGATTTCCAGGTGGGGGTCTCTCCGTTCCACTTCGATCCGATGTATGTGTAGATTTTGCAGTGCGACATATGTTTGCAGCCTTCTGTTGTAGCGATGATCTACCTATGGCCATTGGTCGCCCAAGGTTTGAAGTACATCAAGAATCTCTCGGAGGCACCGCCCGCCAGCGCTCCTTTTCTGCAGGTTCTAGTATGCTGCCTGTTTGGCCTCTTCGCTCTACAAGCAGTTGTACTTGCGACTTGGCATCGCTCGGACGTGTGCATTTCTTCCTCGGCGACGGCCACCGAGGAGCATCCTTCATCATTTGGCGAAACAAACACGCACGAAATCTGAAAAAAACACGAGGAATGGACGTCCGAGCGATGGCCAGGCGTGTTCTAGTCTGCTGCCTGTTTGGCCTCCTCGCTTTGCAAGCAGCTGTCCTTGCGAGTGATGACGGAGCCCCGTCGCGGGTCTTCAAGTGCTGCAGGCCCCCGGTGTCCCAGGAGCGACCCAGGTAAAAAGCGATGCAGCGATCGAAATGCCGCCGGCCGTTCACTTGGCATCGCTCGGACTTGTGCATTGTTCCGCCGGCAAGGACCATCGAGGAGCATCCTTGATCAGTTGGCGAAAAATCCACGCACGAAACCGAAAAAAAGCACAGGGAATGGACGTCCGAGCGATGGCGAGGACCAAGGTAAAGCGATTCAGCGATCGAAAGGCCGCCGGCCGTTCAGGGCTGAGCGATTCAAGCGGTGCCAGAAGCCAACACTGGGGTTGCCAGTGCACGAGTTCGCTTCATAATCTTCTTGTTCTACCACGTTGTCCACGCCGCAACCGCCGCCGTCGTGCCCGTTGGTCTCGTTGTCGTCGTCGTCGTCGTTATGATGCTCGTCGTCGCTGCAGCCGTAATGGTTGTCGACGGCTCCCTCTTTCTCCTCTCCTCCTCACCCCAGGATGTCTGCGAAGGCCTCCAGATGTCGGCAGGTCGAGGCTTCCGACGGATCCCCAGATGTCCCCAGAGTTCCACGTAGAGCCAAGAACATGCATCATGTCAGATCTTCGATCCTCCTGCCTCCTACTAGCCTGTGAGCCGGCTTGTTTAGCCAGACTTTTGGCTTCGATGTCACAGTGCCAGATGCTCTCGAGTTTTCGACCCCCCTTCACCAGGGCATGTTTTCAGTCCCGCGTCGTGTTCTGTTCCAATGCCGAAATAGGTTGAAGACAACATCAAGACGTCGGGCCCCTCGACTCATCCCCGTGGTATGTAGGGGGCCACATGCGAACCCTACCCCTACCCTCTATGGTTTCTAACTGGGAGGGTGGGGTTCACTTCGACCGGGAGCTCTTAAGCGAAGTGGACCCCACCCTCCCCCTCAGAAATCGTGGGGGGTAGGGGTAGGGTTCGCATTTGGTCCCCGTGGTCTGTGCCATTCCAGTTTCCGTCGCCGTTTTTGACCTGTTCCGGCTCCGGTTCCAATCCTGGAGTTGTTTTTGTTGCCGTTTCTGGTCGCCGTTTTTTGGCCGTTTCCATTTGAAGGGGCTTTTTCTTGGAAGCGGTGAAAAAACGGCCCTGCCGTTTCCGGGGCCCACTAAGCCCCGCGGTCGGTGCCTTTCCAGTGTCCGAGACGTTTGCCAGCCGTGGCGACGGGCATCCCCCGAGGCGTCCGACATATTTTGCCGGGACGAGGGTGTCAACGCCGCGGCCGCTGTCGCCCGCTGCCGCCGCCAGTGCTCCCCCAGGGACCCCAAACGCTGGAGACCTCCTGGGGCTCCCAGAAGCCGGCCGCACGCAGAGGGGGGTTCGGGAATGGACAGACCTCCTGCCCTGACACGTCGATTAGCTTGGCATCGCTCGGACGTGTGCATTTTTCCTTCGGCGAGGACCATCGAGGAGCATCCTTGATCATTTGGCGAAAAAGTCACGCACGAAACCAAAAAAAACACAGGGAATGGACGTCCGAGCGATGAGGAGCATCCTTCATCATTTGGCGAAACAAACACGCACGAAATCGGAAAAAAAACACGAGGAATGGACGTCCGAGCGATGGCCAGGCGTGTTCTAGTCTGCTGCCTGTTTGGCCTCCTCGCTTTGCAAGCAGCTGTCCTTGCGAGTGATGACGGAGCCCCGTCGCGGGTCTTCAAGTGCTGCAGGCCCCCGGTGTCCCAGGAGCGACCCAGGTAAAAAGCGATGCAGCGATCGAAATGCCGCCGGCCGTTCATTTGGCATCGCTCGGACGTGTGCATTGTTCCGCCGGCGAGGACCATCGAGGAGCATCCTTGATCAGTTGGCGAAAAATCCACGCACGAAACCGAAAAAAAGCACAGGGAATGGACGTCCGAGCGATGGCGAGTTAGTGAATTGTCCGTTTTCGGTTCTCGAGAGGGCGCCGCGGCCGTCATTTTCCAGGCTTGCGCCCGCCAGGCTTGGGCCCAAGGCCCAAGGTCGTTTTCACTAAACCACGTTTTGCTAAAGGGGGTTCTGTCCATCCCCGAGGGGTAGGGGGAGGGGGGAAGGCATCTCAGAAGCGCCCCTTGCTTCTTGCACGGCGCGGGCCTATCTGTGGATGTAAGGCCGGCGCCGTCGAAGATGCAGCCTCTCCTTCTAAGGATCAGGAGGGCAAGGAGCGCACAGACACAACTGATCGTCGCCTCCCAGGAAAAGAAGGGAAAGATATGGGAAGAGGGGGGGAGATAAAAACCCAGAAAATCTGGGAATCTATATATATACACATATATATACATATATATATATATAGGGAATCCGGTGACTTGTGTCTGTTGATTTCTGTGTGTCTCAGGGCCCCTCCAAAGAAGCCCCCCCTCCTCTCCCCCATACCCCCTTGTGCGCGCCGCCACGGAAGGCAACAACTCAGGAGGGAAAAAAACACATAGACACAATGAATCGTCGACTCCCAGGAAAATATAGGGAAATATGGGAAGTGGGGGGGAAGACAGAAACCCAGAAAGCATGCGAAAATATGGGGAATCTTTTTATTTGTGTGTATTTATTTGTGTGTTTGTGGGCCCCTTCAACAACATGGAACAATCGTGAAAACCACCGCCGTCCATCCTCGAAGCTCCATCCCCGAGATCCGCGCGGGCGCCGTCGTCGCCGCCGTCGCCGCCGCCGCCGCCGCGGCCGCCGCCGCCGCCGCCGTCGGCGCCGGCGTCGGCCTTGGCCTTGTCCCCTGGCATCGCTCGGACGTGTGCACTTTTCCTCGGCGAGAACCCTCGAGGACCATCTTAGACCATCGAGCAAAAACAACACGCACGAAACCGAAAAACACACGGGAAATGGACGTCCGGGCGACGGCAAGGCCCTATCCGCCGCGCGCGCCGCCGCAGGAGCAGATCCGCGCATCGCTGTGGCGGGGCGAGGCCTCCCCCGCGGGGGCGCTGGGCGCAGGGCGCACGGGCACGGTCGAGTTCACATCGAGGGTCGGCTCGTCCACATCGAGGGTGCCCCTGCGAGAGTCCTGTGTTTCGGACACCTGCTGTCGACAAACAACGAGGGAGTAGCACTCTGACGGGCACACTCTGCACTTGGAAGTCCCCTGAGCATTACCACAAGCATGCTGTCTACATGCTTGTGTTAAGTCGGGCCTGTCCCCCATACAGGGGGATTTTCTAGGGAAAATATAAAATTCCCCTAAAATTATAAAGCAAATGGTCCACAAATAGTCCGGGGGCTATTTCTTGACTATTTTTTGACCTTCTTGGGGTATTTTTGGGGTATTCTTTATTTTTCGTCGAAAATCCCCCTGTAGGGGGACACACCCGACATAATGCTTGTGGCAACGTTCAGGGGAGGAACGACCACCCCGACCTCGACAGCTGCCGGGTGCCAAACGACGCCCCGCGCCGCGGCTCAGCAGCCCTGCCCCGCTCGTTCCCGCCTCCCCCTTGGGTGTGCTCACGACACGGCTTCGCTTGTCGGGGTGCTCATTCAGAGGGTGGGCTTCCTGCCCTCTGCACGTGTCCCTCGGACGGAAGCACATCGTCTTCGGTATCGCCTGACCCCGGGGCTTTGCCCCCTCCTGGCCTTGACGTGAGGCCCCTCTTTCTGCCCCCCCTCTTTGTTAACTCAACCTGTGCGCGGCCCGCTTAGCTTCGACCAGAAGAGGTGCGCTCTCGACCCGCGAATCAAAAAATGTGTCCCTCGGACGGGTGTTGTGCCCTCTCGCGTATCCTCTCCAATCAAGCTCGACTGTGCGGCTCGGGAGCGCGGACAGTAGGAGGAAGGAGAAGCGACACCACCAGTACCACCAGGGGGCCCCACCTCCCGCGAGGAGGTTGGCGATGCCTCACCCAGGGGTCGATCTGAACGGTGTTTCTGGCGATTTCGTGGGCCGTTTTCGTTCCGACCTTGCTCTGCAGCGGAGGCGGATTGAAGACCAGGCGAGGGGCAGCGAAGGCAACGCGAGCCCACAAAAAAACACTGCGCAGGTCGATCCTGGGCCTCCCCGAGCGGAGGCTGGAAGTGTTTCGGGCGGGGCAGGGAAGCCACACCACCAGGATTATGTCGGGCCTGTCCCCCTACAGGGGGATTTTCGACGAAAGATAAAAAACATACACCAAAAATGCCCCCAAAGGGCAATAAAATATTAAACAAATAGTCCCCAGACTATGTTTGGACTATTTTTTTATTTTTTGGGGTATTTTTTATTTGTCGTCGAAAATCCCCCTGTAGGGGGACAGGCTCGACTTAGCACCAGGAGGGCCCCTGCTGGCCCCACGCGCTGGTGGTGGTGGTGTCGCCCTCGCTTGCTCCGAGACAGGTGGGCGCCGACGGGGGGGCAGCGGGAGGTGAGCTGCGAGCCTTGGGAAGTCGAACCTGTTTCCAACAAGAAAACCTGCCTCCAACAAAAACCTGAGATGAACTGCGTGCATTGGGAAGTCGAACCTGCTTCCCAAAGAACTGCGTGAGCCTGCTTCCAAAGGTGGACTGCGTGCATCGGGAAGTCAAACCTGCTTCCAAAACAAATGAAGAAAACGCAGTTCGTCTATTGGAAGCTGGTTCGACTTCCCAATGCACGCAGTTCATCTTTGGAAGCAGGTTCGACTTTTGAATACACGCAGTTTCTTGGGAAGCAAGTTCGACTTCCCAATGCACGCAGTTCATCTCAGGTTTCTTTTGGAGGCAGGTTTTGTTTTTGGAAACAGGTTGGACTTCCCAAGGCTCGCAGCTCCTCTGAGGCGATGGGGAAAGCTTTCGAACGCTTGCGTCGGGTGCCGGAACATTGTCTGCCTCGGGGCGGGCCTCAGCAGCAGCGCCTCGCCGAGGCAGGTCCGGGGGTGCTGGGATCTCCCCGACCAGCCGCCGAAGGCCCGAGTCGTGACCCGAAGACCAGCCGAGACGGGCTCGGGGGAGGCAAAGCATCTCAAGGAGGATCAGGCGCCACACACATAAACTTTCGGCGCTCCGCGCGGATTTCTTGGATCCGCGCTGGTCTAGCCCGGGGGCGCCTCCGGGCGCCGCCCCTGACCCAAGGGTCGCCCCTTCGCCGGTCGGGGCCCGGGTGCCTCCAAATTTGCCCAGGAGCACGCGGTGTCGCTGTCGAGGGCCATCACCGGTGCATCGGCGATCACAGGACAACAATTACCCCTCGGAACCCGTCCCCCCTTGTCAGCGTTAAGTCGGGCGTGTCCCTCCACAGGAGGAACATTCAAAAATAGTCAAAAATAGTGAATAGGGAGTATTTTTTGACTATTGCGAATGCCTTGCGGCCAGTGTCGCCGACCCTGAATGGCGACGACGACGACGACGAGCGCTGTCGGGGGCCTCTTGGGGGTAATTCGGGGGCCTCTTGGGAAGCTCTTGGGAGCCGCTTGGAAGCCTCGCGGGGGCCTCTTGGGGCTTCCTGGGGGTCTCTTGGGGGCGTCTTGGGGCGTTTCTTAGGGACCTCGGGGGCGTCCTGAGAGCTCCTCAGGCCGAGGGCTCAAAATGTCCGTTCGGGTCCCCCGTCTGGGCTCCTCCTTGGAGCCGTCTTGGGGGCCTCTTCGGTTGTCTTGGAGGCCTTTTGGTCGGTTTGGGGGCCCTCTTGGTCGTTTTGGGGCTCTCTTGGAGGCCTTTTGGGCCATCTTGGGGCGGTCTTGGGGGCTTTAGGCCTGCCTGACAAGGCGAGAATGCCGAAATCTTTAAAACATGTATGGGGAATCGATGATTTCTGCCCCTCAGAACTCTCTTAGAAGTCCTCTTGGAGGCCTCTTGGGGCGTTTTGGAAACCCTTTGATCCGTCTGGAGGCTACTTTGGCGACTTGGACCGATACTTCGGCGATTCGGGGCCCTCGATGACCGTCTTTGGGGCATCTTGGGGCAGTTTTGCCGCGTCCTGCGGCTTTTCTTGGCCACCCAACCGCCCGAGGGGAGTCGTATCTGCCCCAGGACCCCTCCCTAGGGACGCCCCCCCCAGGACTCCCCCTGGGACCTCACCCCGGGGATCCCCTCCCAGGCGGGGAAGGGATAAAAGGGAGGGGCTTCCCTTCGACTCAATCTAACGTTGCTCAATTTCGCTGTGAGGAGGACCCGGTGAAAGTGGGGGGAACGGCGACGGGCCTGGGGAAAAGGGGAGAAGCGAGCGGCGAAGGCGACGACGACGACAGCGACCACGACCACGACGACGACGACGACAACGACGACGAGTCAAACGGAACAGCCTCTTCCACACGCCGACACTGACACATCTGCAAAAGAGACTCCCTATCCCTACTATTGGATCCCTTCCCCACAGGGTTACGGGCCTTTTCATGAATGATCAGAAAGCGCGACCATACGAACCACGCGCGGTCAGCGCCAACGAGGGGTCATACGAACGAGCCCTAACCCGTCCGGGCTGACCGATCGGCTCTGATCGCCTCTGGCCAGCCCGGACTTGGGAGCCACGCGGAGCCGACCACCCTCCCGTCTCTCCGCCGACCTTGGCTAGGGGAGCTGCCTCGGGGAATCGGGGACGGCCAAGAAGCGGGTGACGAGGGGAGGATATCATGGACAGGGCCATGGTATCTCCATGGGTTTCACGGCTCCATCTTCTTCTATCAATGCGTCCTTGGGCCCTCTGGCGCCGCGCACATGCCTTTCGGCCATGAATCGCGAGCCCCCTCTTGGATGCCCCCCTCTTGGGCGCCACCAACGACTGGCCTCAAGCCAACCCAGGCACCCAGCGCCGTGAATTTTTCGCAGCGCGGCTCCCCAGAGGTCTGGATCTTCCTAGGGGCCCTCTTTTCATCCCAGTCGTTGTTCGACGGCCCCGGGGGCCGCCAAGGGCCCCGAGGGGGCGGAGGGGGGCAGCCAGGAGCGGGGAGATGGAGCCCCGATTGTCGGGTTGACGATGGGGCCCACACGATGGGGCCCACATGGAGCAAGTGGGCAACCAGGGTGGCTGAAATCCATTCCTTGGCCAGCCGCCCCTAATTAGGCAGAAGTCGGGGCTCAAGGGACAGGGTTCAACGTAAACGGGGATCAGTCAGAGCCCCGGATCTTGCAGGATCATGCAGGGCCAGGGGTGCACTGCCCCGCTGGATGCTGCAGGATCCTGCAGGGCCTGCTTGACCCAGGCTTGCACTGACCCGGGTCGGTGCGCTCCCGAAGAAGAGGGCGAACCGAGACAGCGGTCGTTGGCCCTCCGGGGGGGGCCCCTCGGCGCCATCGGCCGCGTCTGGACCCCGACGGGGGGCCCCGGCACCGTCGACGAGCGACGAACGAAAACGACGACGAACGACGAACGAAAACGACGACGACGACGACGACGACGACGACGACGACGACGACGACGACGACGACGACGACGACGACATCGACGACGACGACGACGACGACGACGACGACGACAGCTCTCCCTGCTCCGGCCTCCCTCGACCGGCCCGCGGCCCGCGCACGCCTCGGCCGTCCAGCGGCCCGCGGCCGCGGCCGCTGCGGCCCGCGAGGGCACTCTCTACGACATCGAGCTCGAGCCCGGAGGGGGGGGGAGGGCTAAAACGACGCGAAGATCGGAACAAAATCGGATCGGGATAACTCGAAATCTCTGAGAATCGACGGGTTTGGAGGATGTATTGGGCGCCGCGGCCACTCCAGAGCGTTCCGGAACGTTCTGAGAGCGCTCCGGAACGCTCTGGAGCGATTTATCCCGATCTTAGCCCTGTTTTAAGGGCGGGGGCAGACGGCGAGCGTCCGCAAACGACGACGGCGACCAAGACGACGACGTCGAGGGCGACGGCGACCAAGACGACTACAGCGATGACGGCGACGACGACGACGACGACCGCGGCGGCGGCTGCGACGGCGACGGCGATGACGACGACGGCGGCGACGACGAGGAGGAGGAGGAGGAGGAGGAGGAAGAGGAGGACGACGATGACGAACGCCCGCGGCGGCGACGACGGCGCGGCGGTGGCGACAAAAGCGTGCAGCGGCGGTGACAGACGCACGCGGCGGCGACGGCAAACGCCGACGGCGCCGGGGACGCGCGTCGGTGCCGGCAGCGACAAGCGCAGGCGGCGGCGGCGGCGTCGGCGGCCGTGACGGCAGGAGCGACGACGTACGCCATTCGAGTCCTGCGCCTCGCCGACGGCCCGCCCCAAGATTTTCTTCCCCACCATGTATGGCCTCCCCAGTTACGCGTTGCCCGAAGGGAAGGGGGGTCGTGTCTTCTCGCGGCGCGCATCGGCAAAGTCAGTTCTCGGCGGATGTGTGGGGACATCTCCTACGGCGAGATGACGGCGCCTGCGCGAGGGCACAAGGCGGGACGCGTTCCTGTGCCGAATTGCACCCCCAGCACTGCGCACGAGGGTAAGCGGTGAAAAGGGTTGCGGCCTCGTGGTCCCGAGCCCCCCGCGATTGCGGTGCTCGGTTTTTTACCTAACAGCTTTTGCTGATAGGTTTCTAGTGGTCTCAAAAGAGAGCAGCAGATGACTCCACAGGGGGGTCGGGGCGGGACCCGGGGCGGTGCCGCCGAAGCCCAAATCGCCTGGGACATCCTCGCAAAATCGCTCTTGGCGCTCCCAGAACGCCATTCCCGGGCCACATTTTGGATGCCCGGAGCCAACTGTAGGCCATTTCGTGATCTTCGATTCCCAGAACTCCATTCCCGGGCCACATTTTGGATGCCCGGAGCCAACTGTAGGCCACTTCGTGCTCTTGGACTTCCCAGAACACCATTCCCAGGCCACATTTTGAATGCCCGGAGCCAACTGTAGGCCACTTCGTGGTCTTCGAGTTCCCAGAACTCCATTCCCGGGCCACAGTTTGAATGCTGAGGCAGGCTGATGCTGAGGCTGAGGCAGGCTGAGGCTGAGGCAGGCTGAGGCTGAGGCCGAGGCTGAAGGCAGACTGAGGCTGAGGCTGAAGCAGGCTGAGGCTGAGGCTGAGGCTGAGGCTGAGGCAGGCTGATGCTGAGGCAGGCTGAGGCTGAGGCTGAGGCTGAGGCTGCAGGCTGAGGCTGAGGCAGGCTGAGGCTGAGGCCGAGGCTGAAGGCAGACTGAGGCTGAGGCTGAAGCAGGCTGAGGCTGAGGCTGAGGCAGGCTGAGGCTGAGGCTGAGGCAGGCTGATGCTGAGGCAGGCTGAGGCTGAGGCTGAGGCTGATGCAGGCTGAGGCTGAGGCAGGCTGAGGCTGAGGCCGAGGCTGAAGGCAGACTGAGGCTGAGGCTGAAGCAGGCTGAGGCTGAGGCTGAGGCAGGCAGGCTGAGGCTGATGGAGGCAGGCTGAGGCTGAGGCTGAGGCTGAGGCTGAGGCTGAGGCTGAGGCTGAGGCTGAGCAGGCTGAGGCTGAGGCTGAGGCAGGCTGAGGCTGAGGCTGAGCTGAGGCTGAGGCAGAGGCTGAGGCTGAGGCTGAGGCTGAGGCTGAGGCTGAGGCTGAGGCTGAGGCTGAGGCTGAGGCTGAGGCTGAGGCAGGCTGATGCTGAGGCAGGCTGAGGCTGAGGCTGAGGCTGATGCAGGCTGAGGCTGAGGCAGGCTGAGGCTGAGGCCGAGGCTGAGGCTGAGGCTGAAGCAGGCTGAGGCTGAGGCTGAGGCTGAGGCTGAGGCTGAGGCTGAGGCTGAGGCAGGCTGATGCTGAGGCAGGCTGAGGCTGAGGCTGAGGCTGATGCTGAGGCTGAGGCTGAGGCTGAGGCTGAGGCTGAGGCCGAGGCTGAAGGCAGACTGAGGCTGAGGCTGAAGCAGGCTGAGGCTGAGGCTGAGGCAGGCTGAGGCTGAGGCTGAGGCAGGCTGATGCTGAGGCAGGCTGAGGCTGAGGCTGAGGCTGATGCAGGCTGAGGCTGAGGCAGGCTGAGGCTGAGGCCGAGGCTGAAGGCAGACTGAGGCTGAGGCTGAAGCAGGCTGAGGCTGAGGCTGAGGCAGGCTGAGGCTGAGGCTGAGGCAGGCTGATGCTGAGGCAGGCTGAGGCTGAGGCTGAGGCTGATGCAGGCTGAGGCTGAGGCAGGCTGAGGCTGAGGCCGAGGCTGAAGGCAGACTGAGGCTGAGGCTGAAGCAGGCTGAGGCTGAGGCTGAGGCAGGCTGAGGCTGAGGCTGAGGCAGGCTGATGCTGAGGCAGGCTGAGGCTGAGGCTGAGGCTGATGCAGGCTGAGGCTGAGGCAGGCTGAGGCTGAGGCCGAGGCTGAAGGCAGACTGAGGCTGAGGCTGAAGCAGGAGGCTGAGGCTGAGGCAGGCTGAGGCTGAGGCTGAGGCAGGCTGATGCTGAGGCAGGCTGAGGCTGAGGCTGAGGCTGATGCAGGGTGAGGCTGAGGCAGGCTGAGGCTGAGGCCGAGGCTGAAGGCAGACTGAGGCTGAGGCTGAAGCAGGCTGCGGCTGAGGCTGAGGCAGGCTGAGGCTGAGGCAGGCTGAGGCTGAGGCCGAGGCAGGCTGAGGCTGTGACTGCGACTGCCGTTGCCACTGCGACTGCCATCGCGAATGCGCGACTGCGAGAACAGCAGAATTCTACAACAGGATGATCATCTGAATCGTAAGGGGAATGCTTCCAGATATGCTCCTACACATCGCTGTTAGATTGCTTTGCCGGGATATTTTTTCCAGGAGGGAAAGAATCACACAGACACAATTAATCGTCGACTCCCCAGAAAATATATGACAATATGGGAATTGGGGGGGAAGAAAAACCCAGAAAATATAGGAAAACATTGTTTTTAAGTATTCTTATTATTTGTGTGTATTTATTTGTGTGTCCTGGGGCCCCTTCATTTTTGTTGTTGCTGTCTTCTCCTCTTGTGTACGATGCTACGCCGGCGTGCGGCACGGGTCCGCTTCAAGCAGGGCGGCCCTCTGTCGTCCGCCACCGCGCTGGGAGGAGCCCAGCTGGCACCCCAGGCGGGGCGTCTCTCGCAGGCGGTACGAAATCGAAGTTTAAATTGTGGAAAAAAGGGGCCTCGTTCCTTATTTAGGGTTCCTTAGGTCAACGCCCCGACTGTAAGCGGTGAAAAGGGTTGCGGCCTCATGGTCCCGAGCCCCCCCGCGCCTGCGGTGCTCGTTTTTTTGTGGTTGCCGCCTTCGCCTCTCGTGTACGCTGCTACGCCGGCGTGCGGCACGGGTCTGCTTCAAGCAGGGCCCGGTGTCGTCCGCTGCCGCGCTGGGAGGAGCCCGGCTGGCACCCTGGGCGGGGCGTCGCTTGCTGGCGTCGTGGCTCGCCGACCTCTGCTCGCGACCTCTGTCAGTGCTCGCTCGTGTTTGCCTGGGGCACCGCACATTACACCTGATTGTGCCTTCTCCTCTTTAATCCTTCCCCTCCCTTCCCCTGCTGCTCTCCTCCCTCTCCTCCTCCGCCCTTCCCCCCCTTCCCCTGCTGCTATCCTCTCCTCTCCTCCTCCGCGGGGCGACCTGCGAGGCGGGCCTGGAGAGCTCCCGCCTTCTCGTCCGACGGCCCCGGGCGCCGGGACTGCTCCGGGACTGCTCCGGGGCGCGAGGGCGCATCTGCTCATCCTTTTTGGATATGTTTTGTTTTTCTCTCCGCCCAAAGTCCCCCTGTAGGAGGACATGCCCGACCTATCACGGGCCTGTTGTCCACCACCACCACCAGAAGTTGGAGGGGGGGAAGGAGGAGGAGGATGGAGGAGGAGGAGGATGGAGGAGGAGGAGGAGGAGAGGAGGAGAGGAGGAGGAGGAGGATGGTGGAGGACCAGGAGGAGGAGGAGGAGGAGGAGGAGGGAGGAGGAGGAGGAGGAGGAGGAGGAGGAGGAGGACCCCCTCCCCCTCCTACTCATGGTGGCGGTGGTGGAAACAATCCCGCCAGCCTGAGCCTCGGCGCGACCGAGCCCCCGCGGCGTGCGCCGGGGGCGCGGGCTGCTCTGGCAGGAGATTGCCGCCGCGGCCGCGCGGCCGGCGGCCTATCGGCGCTCAGCTCGCGGCGGCGGCGCTCCCTGGGGCTGCTAGGGTTCCCGGCCGCGGGGCGGGAGCGCGCGCCCTGGGCGCGCGGAGGCGCCGGCCTGGCCGCGCCCGCACAGCCTGCTTGCCTGCTTTTGCTGCTGCCCGCTCCTTCCCCCTTTTCCTCCCTTCGCTGCTGCTGCTGCTGCTGCTGCTGCTGCTGCTGCTGCTGCTGCTGCTGCTGCTGCTGCTGCTGCTCTCTTCTGTGTCCTTCTTAGCGGGAGCCAGGGGAGCTGATTTATCGCGCCCAGTGGAGGCCTGCTCCGATTTGGCCAAAAGGGCTCGGTGCATACTTGAGAAGTGCTCGGTGCATTACAAGTTTGGGTGCAAAAGATATTACGATTCTCAGCGAACGCCTCGGCGCTTTCTGGCGAGTCTAAGTTGCAGCTTAAGATGTTACGATTACGGTTACAATGTTGCAGTGTAAGTTTTGCTTCTTTCATATAGGTGTTCGCTGGTTTCTTCCAGCTTTTGAGCTTCAAGAGAACTCCAATACATCCCCCAACAAAAACCCTCCTCTCCTCCTCAAGTGATATCTCTGGTCACCACGTTCCGGGCAACGAGAGCTGTTCCTTGAGCTGGCCGCGCCAGCCTACATCCCTCTTTCTGTGT